CTCTCTCTCTCTCTCTCTCTCTCTCTCTCTCTCTCTCTCTCTCTCTCTCTCTCTCTGTCTCTCTGTACCACGCGTCTACTTGGGCACCTACGCTTCCACACAATGTAAGGAGGAGGAGGAGAAGAAGAAGAAGAAGAAAACAACGTACCTGTGGCGCGCCGGCAGGCGGGGGTGCCGGCATCGTTGCACGACGATGACGATGAGGACGGCGACGGGTGACGACGGCGGGGGCGTTGGCTTGTTGACGGGACGGCTGGTGAATCGGGGGGAGGCGGGAGGGAACGGCAGCTCCTCCAATTTTCGAAAACGGAGGCCTCATCTGGGCTGCCGATCTTTCGAGATCAGCGGTCCAGAGAGGCAGCCGTTTTCGAAAGTTGGAGGCTGCCCTACCGGACCCGTTTCAATTTTTTTTAGGGCCAGGAGGCCCCCACAACCCCCGTGGGGCCTCCTGGCCCCAAAAAAATTTGAATCGGCCACTATTCGCCGATGCGCTATATCCAACCGGAGGGCAACCGGCCCGGTGGACCGGCCGGTCCCACCGGCCCGGTTCCGGTTGGGGGTGAACCCCCCGGTGGGACCGGGTTTACAGCTCTGCCCTGGAGACCTTTCTGTCCAACTGTTCCATCTGCAAAGTCCCCTCCCGAGCCATAATCTCTGCACTGATTCAAAAGGGTTAAAAGTCCAAAACCTAGCGCACGACCACATAAAAGCAATAGATAGAGCACTCAGCAGGCTGTTTGTTCAAATCACACTTAGCCACCAGGCAAGCCCCTCAAAAAACAAAGACAGCTTTGTCACAACCAGCGAACATACTCCAGATACACAGGGAGCATGGACACATCATAGCACCAACAGGGAGCATGGACACACGCCACTGCACCAAATAATGGCCCTGGCCACTGCTGGTCTAAGCCCGGCCGACGAAACTTCAGTAGGAATAACATAGTACATACACCTGGTGTTGCACCCCGCAGATTGCCGTCCCTGCTGGCCGGCTGCAGTAGCCAACTGGTGGGAGCCTACTGGTCAGTGGTTTGCCCACCCATAGATTCCCATCAGATCGGAGGTTGGAGGTGAAACGCATGGTGAGGGGGTGGGTGTCTTTGGGATTTCGAGAGCAGGGCTGCATTCGATAATTCTGTGCCACCTGGAACACCAGTTTCTGTGGGGAAGACAACGGATTTTGACCAGAGTGTGACATAAACCCCATAATACAACATCCGTTCTCTGGATGGATGCCCGTTGCTGCTCCAGCAAGGTGCGAGATTTGTTCAGGCTGTGGGGAAGTTTGACAACAATGTTGGTCAGTGGCCACCTCGGGGGATCAGGTCTGGGGTGGTGGTTGGCGATGACCAGCAGATCGGGCTAAGGGGGATTATCACATGCATTACCATCTGTTAGGGAACTCTGCAGACAGTCAGGGGTTCAACCTCCTGACGAGTTGTTGAAAGTGTGACGAAACAGTCTGTTACAGCCTCCCGTTTCTTGTCCTTTTGCAATGACTTGCTGATTCTGCAGCCTGCAGCCTGTCAAACCGAGGCTGTAACATACGTAGGACAGATTCGTGATTTTGTTTCAACTGTGTACTAACCGGGAAGCCAGCCTGTGGGGAAATACGTGAGGGACATATCTGCAAATTCGGAAAAACTAACAGACCCGCACTAATCCTATTTCCCTATAGTCACCCTAACTGTGAACAGCAGGCCCAGGCTACCACGCGGACAGACAGGCCTAAGGGCCTACACTGATAGACTGGTCCTATAGCCTATAGCCGGGCAGGGACAGGCCGTAGAGGCCGAAACTGAAATGGTACCGGTCGGTCCAGTAGGTCCGGTCTAGGTCGAGTCTAGGCTAGAGTAGATCTATTAATAGGTTGAGGAAGTCTGTTCAGGGCTTTTTGACGGTTGGCATTTTGCAGATCGTGATGGCACAACACGTGAACTGGAGTGGTGACAGCTTCAGTATTGAGGAAGACAGACATAGCCAGACCCTCGAAGCATCGGCCATAGCTGGGTCCTTCACTGTTCTCTGCCAGCACGTGGGGCTGCTCAGAGGTCTAGGCTATCTGAGGTCTGCTGGGAGCTCGAGAAGTTGGTGCCCTGCGGAACTCTCCTCAGGAGTAGGGTTCAGCGAGGTGGCGCTGCAGCCATAGCTGCAGCTTACATCCTCAGAGATCTCTTTTGTCAGGAAAGGTGGCGCTGCTGCAGATCTTCATCAGTGAAGTCATCCGGCACTTGGCGCTGGTCTTCTCTCCATCCCCTGAGAGGCGCTTGGCGTCAGGGGCCTGTTTCAGGGTGGCACTTCCCTCTGGAGGCAGTATCTGGGTGGTGCTGGTTGTTTCAGGGGTTCTGGGGTAGTAGATAGCGGTTATTCTGGGTTGGGAGAGAAGCGCTGCTCATTTCTGAGCAGCGCACCATGTTTCTGAGACTATTCTTTCTTTCTTTTTTTTTCTTTTTTTTTCTTGCAAAACGATTCTCTGAGTTTAATAAACAGCGTGGATACTGTGTGAGAACTATCTTTGCTTCATTGTTTCCTGGATGTGATCTACTCAGCTTTCCTTTGTGACTGGTTGTGGGGATTCTGTGGAGCGAATTGCACTTTCAGTGTTTTCTGTCATATCGCATGGTCAAGTCTTCCACTGTGTTTCTTTCTCTCTGTGCGGTGTGATACTCCTATCCTCTCCCCTTACTTCTGCATATGTATGTGGGCATGCATGGAAGTCTATGTGAGTGAGTGTTGGTCTTCAGACAACACGCAACCAGGTTCATAACAATTTTCTCCCTTTCAGTTCAGTGGCCAGTTCACATTTTCACACAACTTTGCTGTTTTCATATTCCTGCCTTCAAAGACAGCATTGCCCCCACAAGGTGGCCATTGACTTGATTCATGTGTGTGTGCATCTTCAGATTGGTTCTCTCTTTACCCATGTGGATGTGATAATGCGAGTGAAAAACTTCATATCAAGCGCGCTCATTGATTAACAGCCCCTCAGGGAATGTCAAACAGATTGGAGGAGGAATTTTCTTTTCCAGTGAAGATGTAAAAGGACCTCAACCATCATCATGAGAAACCAAAGTAATGGTAAGAGTTTGGCTGACCTTATTAATTCACGGCGTGGAAGTTGTACTGACTCAATAGCCTGCAACATGCCAGGTGGGGGCCTCATGGGTAGCTGTGAAACACTCTTCACCTGCCCCCCACCACTGTTATCATTATCTCCGTCACGAATACGCTGTCCTCCTTGAACTGCCTTACTATCCTCTTCATTTAAGGACCTCTTGCATAACCACTCCTTACCCCTCTCTCTTTCCCGATGTCTTCCTGGATCTTTTCCTTTCCCTTTCCCCTTATCTCTGTCATGCCTGTCTTCCCTCCCTCTTGCTCTTTCTTCCCTATCCCATCTCTGACTTCTTCCCTTCTCCATGTCTGGCTTGTCCCTATTCCTTCGACTTCTGCTAGACTCTTCCTGCCTCTCAGATTCTCCTCTCCTCTTAAGCCCTCTCCCTCTCTCACTCATGCACTCCCTTCCCTTCCCTTCATGTTGATACTCAAACCCTCTATCAGCACACGTCTCCTCTGGAGCATTCTGTCGTTGCATTACAGAATCTCTGTCGGCACTCCCCTCCCTGTTCGAATTGTCCGATGCCTCAGAGTTGCTGTGCTGCTCCATTGTCCTTTCCATCTTATCCCCTGCAAACCTGGAAACAGGGTGCTTCCTACTGACATTATTGTCAGGTGCAGCCTCGTTGTAGAATCCTCCCTGTCCAAGCATGGAGCCCTCTCCAACAACCTTTCTTTCCGCTGAATATTTTTCTCTGTTCTCCTCTTGCAGACCCATTTCACTCTTGGCGTGTATTGCCATGACCTCACTCGCAGACAACAGGCAGTGTGAGCCCCAGTGACCCTTCTTGAGGCACCTCAAGCACTGAATAATTGGTTTGTCGCTGACCATGGGCTCGTCACTCTTAGAATCCTTTTCCTGTTGCTCTCTCCACTTCAACATCCTCCTTCGGAAGAATGGAAGCTCAGCATCCAAGGTCTCTGAGCATTCATCAAGCTCATGGCCCCCCATTCCACAGAACATGCACTTCAGCCGCGATATCCTTGCCATGGCCATTACCTCTGCGAGAATAAAACCAGCTTTTGTAGTTTTGTCATCTTCCCTCCCATGCCTCCCTCTCCATTTTGCACTTTCAAGATTCCATTTACGAACAGCTGCCATTCTAGCTTTGCATTCCATGTCATCGTGGCCTTTTACCGCCTCCCCAGAACCATCATCGCCAAAACAAAAGATGGGGCTCTGACCCGCTTCCACTCTGCCAGCAGGTTGTAGAATCATATTTACCCCAAGAGGTGCCATACTGCCACCTTCTGGCAGATTTCCAGTTTGGGTTTCTGGTTTATCGCCAGCAGGACACACATTTTCCGGTGCAGCTGCACCTGCCTTCCCAAATTTTCCAGCAATCATTTCATAGGGCATGTAAGCAGAATGTTGGAGTTCGGAAACAGTCTGGCATAAGACTCCATCCAGATCTCCAGTTTCTTTCTTTCGCGACGGCCCTGCTTGGGTGGTTGCTAATCCAGCCTGAGCATTAAAGGGATTCACGAGCACATGTTGAGAGAGGCGGGCCCCACTTTCATGGGCTACTGTTTCACCCTGAACTGTAACAGACGGGATCTGTGGGGGCATATTGATTGACGGCATGCCAGCAACTGATGCTGCACCAGTAATGGAGCCCACTGAACCCCCCATATTGACCCCTATGCTGGGTGGCTGTCTGAGGTCCATGTCATCGGGCGCAACACCGCCCTGGGATGTCATTGCTTGTTCCCTCCTGTGCCTGTTCTCCAGATCCCGTTGTTCACCTGCGAGAAAAGAAAAGGACGCAGGCCCCTCATCCACATCAAAGGTCTTCTTCTGGTCACATTCAAGTGGAATCATGGAAGTACGTGGCCCAAGGACTTCTTTTGCCTGCAACGAAGGGATTTTTCTTGGAGAAGCTCCCAATTCTGGCTGATTTTCCCAACAAACGCCACTTGGTCCAGGGGGCTTGCTCAGCACAGGTACCCGGAAAACTACCTGCTGATCTGTGGTCGTCGAGGGCAAAGTTTTAGCAGTGCTTGTCCACCCAACAGCAGCAGCAGGACTGCCCAACCTTCCCTTTGGGTCTCCGCCTCTCTGACACTGCCAGCCTGTTACAGGACGCTTTTTGGCCAAATGTTTCATTGTCTCCACTTCACTAGCAGTTCTGGCCTGACCGTGCTGTGGGGATGCCTCCATTGGCCTGCCAAATTGCGGCCGAGGCGACCGGTTCAGAACACCATCTTGGATGGCCACCAAGGGACTGTGCTTCCCAGCTAGAGTTTGCTGATCATGTGGTTGCAAGGCAGATGGGGATGTTAACAATGACCACATGGACGCTTTTGGATATCCCACTCCAGAAGCAGGGGTTTCCCCCGAACCGATCTTCAAATCTTGTCCTGGTTTCACAGCACTTCGCTTCTGAACATCTTCTTGCAGTTTTTCAACCTTTCCTTTCTGGGATGCTTGATCCCCTTCCTGGAAAGTCCTGTTGCCTTCCAGAGCCTCCCTGTCTGATTGAGCTTTTGAGCTGACACCCTTCAAGGGAACCTTTGTGGAGGAATTGCCCAAGACTGAAGCTATGCCCTCTGCCACTGTTTTTCCAGTTGAGTTCACATGACGCACCATTGCTGCACTATCCAGACATACAGTCGGCACAACAATTGCCTCTCCAACTGCATATTCTTTTCGCCCGCCCTCTTGAGTCTCTTTTCTGTCATCTGCAGCTTCACTCTTAGCCTTTGATTGGACTTCCTGAGGAGTTCCACTACCAAAACCAGGAGCTAGCCGTCCTCCAAACCTTCTGGTCCTGTCCTCACCCTCCACTTGGTCAACAACAACACTTCCTCTGCCTCTCGCTTTCTCCATGTCCTCCTTTTCAGTTGATCTTTTTTCAATTGCTCCTTCCACAGTTGTGTCACAATAACCCTCCAGTCGATCCCCTACCGTCTCTGCTGTACTTCTGGCTGAGCCTGGGTGGCCTACGCCCATCATCCCTCCCTTCAAAACATCAAACCATGCAGAAAATGATCCCTTGCCTTTGACATGGGATGCTTTGATTTGCTCCTGCTTCGTCTTTCCATCGAGTAGTGATTGTACTTTAAAATACTTCACTCTCTTACCATCGGACTTGTTCGCCTTGTGACGCTTACGACTTTCAGTCTTGCAGCCACTCCACTGGTCTCTCCCGTCACCTCCTTTTAGCAAATGTCTACTCTCTCTTTCACGCTCCCTCTGTTCGATCATACCCCTTTGCCTTTCACGTCTCTTTTTCTTTTTTGATTTTATCTCATAACTTGAGGATTCTTGCCCTCCAGCCTTCCGCAGGCGCTCTTCTTGCCTAGGACCACTGCTGCCCCTCCTTCTCTTTCTACAGCTGCTGCCACCCCGGCTTCCACTCCTCCCCTCCCAACTTTGACCTTGCTCTCTCCTTTCCTCCTCCTGTGTCTCATCCACTGCTTCATCATCAGTTGTTGACAGGCGCTTTGCTGCAGATGCACTTGGCATTGCACATGTTGCCTCACTCTCCCTACTTTCTGACAAGGCCTCTGCCTCAGCTCTTCTCCCTTCCACACCCTTCTCAATATTTTCTCCCCGTGCCCCATCCTGCATCATCCTGATCGCCTCTCTTTGCTTACCGCTTTCAACAATAGAATCTACCCTACCATTCACTGGCACATTGCCCTCCTCTCCACATCCCTCGCCAAGCCTGCTTGCTGGTGTCTTCCTCGTCAAGTCAGGCCAACTGCTCGCCCTCATTGTGCCACAAGCGAAAACCTCATTTTCTGCTTTCGCTGCTGCAATTGCCGCTTCTCTTTCTTGCTTTCTACCCTTCTGACGCCAAACCTCGGACAATATAGTGGCATCCATGTCTGCCCTTGTTACGCCAGTCCCATCCACAGCAGCAGAAAGAGGATAACCCATTTTATTGCCTGAAGTCGTGGAAGGTCCCATTGCTGCCCTGTCCATTCTCCATACAAATGGGAACCTCCCACTCTGTGGAGCAGAAGGCCGTCCAGCAGCTCCCACAACCATGGACATCCTTGCTTCATCCAACTCCCTTCTGCTGACTCCGAGCCTGGAGGCTTCTTCAAGATCATGGGACTTGAGTCCTTTTGCACCCTCCCAAGTTGGCCCAACATTGCCCATCCTGTTAGCAAATGCACTGGGTGGATCACCCCTTACCTCACTCTCCTTTTCATGGTTTCGCACGTTGTTTTGGCCATCCTCTCTGCTTGGACCAGCTTCTTCTTTGTCAGATTTCCAAAAACTGGGCCATGCTCCATCCCTGGCCAGAATTTTACCCTTCCCACCTAACCACGCCCTTCCTGAATTCCTGACCCCGCCCCAAACGCCATGGACAAGCCTAGATGCTCCTGGGCTTCCAGTTAAACCAGGGACAAGGTTTGACGTCTGATTAGCAGAGAGTAATCTTTTGACGGGTGATAACATTTTTGGTTCACCCACCACAGCATCAATTTCAGATATGGCTGAACTCCCAAATGCACTGCCACTGCCAAAGCCAGCACTCCCACTGGCGAGCAGAGTACTGGCAAGAGGACCACTGCACCCAGCCCCTCTCATGAATCCTCTGCTCCCCCCGATTCCCCTTTCCTGTTTAACACTCGATGACTCTAGAGCATCAATTCCACTGCTGCCAGTAAAATCTCCTCCACACAATGGCCCCTTCTCTCCCATGCTGGGAGTGCCATCTTTCCATCCTGTCGCTCCCAAGGTATCCTCCAACAATTGCCCAGGCCTTGCCTTAGGACTCATTTCCGCTAGTCCAGGCCCCGTCCCCACACCTGATCTACCCCCAAAACTCTCCAACGAGCTGTTTTGCATCACTTCGCTATGCATTCTGCCGAACGAAGGGATCCATACCCTTTGACTACCAAATCCTGAGCCAGAGTGTGAAGGCCAGCGACTCTGTTCAGGCAGGGCTCTGTCACTTCCTAGTCCACGGAGTTCTCGGAAAGGAGAGTAGTTGCTGCTCACACCTATAAGGCAATCCCTTGTCACCCTTGTGGAAGCTAAACTTGGGCTGTCAGAGGACTCAACCCCGACCTTCTGCCTCTTCAGCGGCCCTGGGCAGGGAAAAAAAAAAGGAAAAGAGGGAAAAACAGGAGGGTACACTGTGATCAGGCGAAGCCACCAAAAGGCTCAAAACCCATTACTTCCCACGTCTCCCGTAAGTGCAATATTTAAGTCTTACTTCAGCAACAAAGGCATACTGCAACCCTGAGGGGTATTGCAGCAGATGCACACCCAATGCCCAAGGCACTATGCCTATAATAAAGCCAATGATTGGGCAGAGTCACCAGTAAGCAGCCTTGGCATTGCAAAGTTGAAAGTCAGGCCCCCAAAACCAATGCTTTCCAAGAGCCAGCAGCTTGGTACAGAGACAAATGCCGCACTCGAATTCAACAGCAGACAGTGGCAATACATCTCAGCCATCCAGCCAGTCAAACATGGACCAGTCAGCACCGCAAGCACCGGACCAGGCCCCATGCAACACACATTCTGGAGACATGATTTGGGCACTACTGGTTAACGGGGACCCTCCATTTTGCATGAAAGTGCACCTTGCCTTGAAAGTTTTCTGCTGTTTTGTCAACTTTTTTGTTTTTTTTACTTGTTTTCTTTTTAATGCTAATTAGTATGGTGTTCACTATATGTATGGGTGACAAGTTTGATTAAAAAGGGCTTTGGGTTTCTTATAAATTGCATGACAAATTTCAGAAAATTTGGGCCTCCGTTTGCCTTGACAGTTTTATGCAGTTTTTTCAACTTTTTTGTTGTTTTTGCTTGTTTTATTTTTGATGCTAGTTAGTATGGTGTTCACTATATGTATGGATGACAAGTTTGATTAAAAAGGGTTTTGGATTTTCTTACAAATTGCATGACAAATTTCTGAAAATTTGGGCCTCCGTTAACCACCTCTCGATTGGGAGAGATTGGGGGATTGACACTGTGGCTAGCAAGGAGTGCATCTTCGAGATTTGCTTTGTTGCTGAAAAAGTCGCTCACCTGGCGGCCATCCGTGTTGCGCCCCGCTCGTTCTATGTGCAGGAGTTCTCCATTCTACAGTGCTCTACCATACTACTGTGTTCTAAACACCGCCTTGAATGCCATAGTGTAATGAACCCAGACTCGTTGACAAACCAGTTAGCAATGCAATAGAAGTCTGAACCCAGCGCACCTCTTGAGGTCTCCAATATCAATTACAAGCAGGGCTGCACCGGCCACCGGCCGGTTGGACCGGACCGGTCGCAGCCGGGCCGGTTGGTTGGACCGGCCCGGACTGGAATTCCGGTTGGGCCCAAAACCGGGTCGATTTTCTTTTTGTTTTTGTTTTTGGTGATGGGGTTGGACTGCGCTTGTCGAGATCTCCCCAAATCCGCAGAGAAAACATGAATGTGCGGATTTTTTTTTCATGGGGTTGGGGGGGTTGGGGAGGGGGGGTCTGGGTGTTCTGGGGGTGTTAGTGGGGCAAGGGGAAGATATGGCCACCGATATGGCTACCGAGTGGGCTCGCTGCCCTCCTGAAGCGCCCACTACCCCCCTTGCGCCCGCTGCCTCCTCGCGCACCCTCTCTCTCTCTCTCTCTCTCTCTCTCTCTCTCTCTCTCTCTCTCTCTCTCTCTCTCTCTCTCC